TCATGAAATCAACATAAAGATCTGTAGGTTGAGCTGATGTATTGCCTTAAAGGACACAAAATATCAAACTTATCAAATGTAAATTTCCAAACACAGGAATAGATTTTCTTGACTAATACATTTACCGTAAAATTTACTGCATTTTTTATGATAAGTCAGCAAAAGCAATACTAAGCAGAACATGTGAATAAATTATTGAAAAGAACACTGTTTTCATTTCTCTTGCATGATTACAAACCAGCATAGGAACCGGTTTTAATTTCCTTTTACTACAAGTGCCCACTATTCATCCCTAGTTTAGAGTCAATTATATTTTTCTACATAACAGGAAATTTAAAATGTCACAGCTCCATACACTTTTTTTTTTTTCAGTATTGCAGAATTCTCTGTGTTTAAAACATCATTCACATTTGATAGTCCCTAAAACTTGATTTTATATACTTTTAAACAAGTACAATGCATAGGAAATGTGTGTGTGCGTGTCTGTGTATGTGTGTATATATATATATATAAAAGGCATATAGTTCCAGAGGTTCTACCTGGCTGGAAAACTGTTCATTAAAATCATTATTCCACAGGAAACCAAACAGTATCGCTTTATTCTTTACAGTAAACTCATTTATATAAATAATTTCAGCAGTGCTTTGAACTCCACTCTTATCACGGCTTCAAAAAAAGTAACAGCACTGTAGAAATTGTAAATTATTTTCACAACGTTTAAATGAAGTACAAAACATTCAAATAACTTTTAACCCAGAGAATGTCACTACTTTGAGGCAAAGTCATGTTTAAAAGAAGGATTTATACTATTTTATTGCTCCAGAGAAGATAATCTCTACTACACGAGAACAGTTTGCAAGAAAATGCTCCTTTTGAATCTCCCATATTTCCCAGAAATAGACTTGGAAAAATTTTCCGAGTTAAATGAAATAACGGAGATTCTGTGGAAATCAGTGGGAAAACTTCAGTTGGCTTCAGGATTTCAGAATCAGGCCCTAGCTGCTTCAGCTTTATAACATTTATGTCACTAAAAGCATATGCTACTATACTTTCCAATAAGTGGTATAAATCTGAGAGCACATTAGGTATTCCTTGCTTTCAATTGCATTGCATTTCTTTGTACAATGTTCAAGTAACAACACTCCCTGGAGAAGCACTGAGTGTTAAACCAAGAACCCCAACAACATAAATGAAAAGATGAAGGTTTACAGCCACAGTGAGGCCATTTAATAAGATGGATTAACCCAATTTTATTTTTGAGCCCTTCAAACAATGAGAAATCTTGTAAGATATAATTGCCACTGGATGACATAGCTACAAAAAAGGATAACATACTTTGGACTGTCTGACAGGTTTGGAAGATTATCTTTTCTAACGTAAACCTCTGGTCAAATCTCAGCAACAGTAAATCTAATAAACTTTACTAAGACCTTTAACTCTTTATTGTGCCTTTTCTTGACTTCAAAATCTGTTTTTTTGTGAAGTTTCCCTGTATTTCTTCAAAATTTATTTTTAATTTTAGAATCCCTGAGTAACCTCCAGGGATTTATGTTATTAATTAATACCGTGCATGCTACCCAACACCCCCACCTCAAACTGTTAGAAAATAACATGTAATTTCACGTGAATATAAGTAGCACAGACATTCCAGCAAGCAGAGTAAATAACCTGCCCTTCAAACAGTGCCAGAACAACATGCAGATTTGAACATCTCTATTAATTGCAACTTCTCTGAATTCTTTCTGTAATTCACTTATAGGGCTAAAAATATTTTTACCAAGCTGCTGTAGACAACCTCTCTACAAAACCTGCCTCATTAACAGTTAGTTATCATTAAATGTTGCCATTTACAGTTCTAACTGAATATAGTATCAGGCACTATTCAAAAAACATTATCTATAAAGCTGTTTGCATATACAATATACACAAAGACACTGACAAGGCAGATTTTTCTGTCTATGTATTTGTACGCTCCAGGAGGAGAAACCCGTGTGTTTTAACAGCCCTTACCTTGCCCTCTGCACCTCCAGCTGGCTTGTCCACCTCCTCCTCCTGTGCTTTCTGCTTTCCACAAGAAGAACTAAGCAAAAGATGAATAAAAGGAGTTTTGCAAAATAAGGCATCCTGCTGGAAATAGGAGCCGGGCTCTCTGCACTCCAGTGACCTCCTGCAGTACAAGTCCCCCTGGGTTTAAACATTGAATCAACTCTAATTCCGGCGTCGCATGTTGGTCAGCAATGGGTGGTAGAAATGTTGCTTTCTCGACGTGATGCTCTCGACAGGCTTTCGGGGGCTTCTCACTCAAAGCTTTTCCCTCATCCCCGCTTAACGATTGGCCATTACTCACGAAGTTTCCCTCACCAAACATTTCCACTGGGTCCTAAAGGATATTGACTAAAGCCATTATATAAAAACCCGCAATTCTGCACGCCGGCTTTTTGCTCAATCCCCTAATCTCAGGACAGTGCTATCCTTCTGCCAGACTGTGTAAAACCAGGCTGTCCCCTTTCATTAGGCTTTCCAGACTTTCTGTTCCTTCGCATGGCATCTTCTTCAACTGGAAACCGCCCGTGCCATGTTTCAGACAGATATATTGTTGTAAAACGTACATATTTTTATGGGTTTATAGCAGCTGAGATTTTATTTTGCAGTTTAGTCTGGCTCTTTATGCAGTTGAAGATAAAAGATGAGCTATTTCCTCTGAAAATGATGATTTTATTTACCGTTAACTTTTAAAGGAAAATTAAAACACAGTAATCTCCAAAGTATCTCTACATGCAATAGACTCTTTACATAAATCGAGTCACCATTAATATTTACTTTTTCAAATAGACATTTGCACAACCAGGCATTTTAAGTTCCATTTTAAAAGTCTGAAATAAAAATGAGAAGCCACAAAGCAGCTGTTTCTTTAATCACAAGGAAGAGGCTGTTTTCACACACCATTCAAAGCTTATTTTCTCATAGCCCACTCAAAGGGGAAGGTAGCCGGCCTCGCCGCAGAAGACTGAGCTGCTTTAACAGCCAATATGTGGTACAGGTACAAGAGCAAAAGTTTGCTTGTCACAGCAGTGAGTCTCTAGGAAAAGAACCGCACATTCAGAGCAAAGCTTCCGGAGGAGCGAGCGAGTCAAAACCCAGCAAAGCCATCTCGTGGGTCAGACCTCTTCCAGAACTCCCTCTTCTGTGAGCCCAGGTTTGCAATACTTGAACAGAACAGGCATTCAAGCAACATACCGACTCAGAAACACAGTACTTTTATTTCAGTGGTGACAGGATCTGGAGAGGGTTTTTTTTGGCTTTTGGTGTGGGTTTTTCCGGTTGTTGTGTTGTTTTTTAAAAAAAATTTCTAATGAAATAAACATACAAATTAGGTAAAACCACAACAATTAATATATTGACATCAGATTGTTCTGCTGCAAAATGTTGTGGAAGTAACTGCTTAACCAGCTGATCAAACTATAACCTTTTGTCTGAACTTCTCAAGAAAACTATTTTTTGATCTCTGTTCCATTGTACCTGCAAACAAGATTATCAACAATCCAGAAGAAATACTAAAAAACTGTTTGGGTTTTTTTTTTGTGGTTTGTTGTTTGGTGTTTTTTGTTGTTTTTTTTTTAATTTCCCCATCCCCCTTAGACACACAATGGGCTTTCCTTATTTCAGAAGTTGTTATACCTACTTTAATGTTTCAAAACATTAATACATCTATATTTAACAAAATTTAGGAAAGCTGTAGGTAGCCCGATAAATACTTGCCGAGAAACAGGATGAGACTCTCACTTAAGTCAGTGCTATCATGTTCGACAGCAACGAATTTAGCTAAATTTCATTGTCTTTGAAATAAACATGCTAGAATACATTTAAATCTGAACAGTAATACAAGAATATTATCCCACTGATTCTTTTACTTCATTGCAATACTTAAGCATTCACAAACAAAACCTCTCAAAACCCTAACAGTTGTAGGTCTATTGCTTGTATATGTCATTTTACAGCATTCATGAGTATTACCAACTGTTAATTTTTTTAATAAAATAATAATGCAGAAAGCCTCCAGGCCCCTTATTGATTTTAGGTTTAAAAGAAACGGAAAAAAAAAAATAATCAAAAGGCCATGTGACACTTGAAACATAACCGAAGACTGGCTTGAAACTCTTTATTACTACCAAGGTTTTAATAAATATTTCTCTTAAGCATGTTCATATATATGAGAGTTTAAGCATAATAAGGTTTAAATTTTCTTTAGTAAATAAAACCACATATGAAACAGTCAGTTCAACACATTATGTGTATTCCTGGTATAATTAAAAGACAATAGCTCTGGGTAAATAATTATATTACATATTTATAACTATTGCAAGAATAGACATGTTTTATATAATCTTCAACTCTAAAAAAACCAAGATATACAATTGAGAGTATTAGAAGAGGATATTCAAATCTTGCAAAAGATTATCCCATCTTTCTTCCAAAAAAATAAAAATCGAAATAATGCAAGTAGTTTACTGGCCCCTTCTTTCCTCCCCTACTCCTTTCCCTCCTTCACACACACAAAGCAGCATCACAACCAATTTGTATGTGTTCTGCCTCTAGAAATGTGTCATGGTAAATAAAAGTGGTTACAAAACTGTATCCCCTCTAAATTAAGAGGTGACTGGACACAAACACTTAGTCCTGTTTCATTTTAGAATTCCTTCCCCAATGTCAAATCTTATACTAACTTAGATGGGGTAATTAATTGCATTTATGTTCCATAAAAAAGTGAATCAACCACTTAATTTTTAAATTGTCTTTTTCTAGTTGATAAATCACTCAAAATGACTCCCCTCCCACATGCCTTCATGTTACTATCCCACTGCACTGTTTCTCCAAGTATCTAGTGGGCACTCAATTAACACTTGTTGTAGTTAAATGTCCAACTTCGCTTTTCTTACAAGTAATGTATCTGTAGGTACATTAACATTCATAAGGATTTAAGCGTAAATACAAAAAGTAACCTTTGTAAACAGTTCTCATGTCATACCCAATACAGAATGTTCAATGAAGCATTCAAGTCACTGCTGTTATGACAGAAACAACCTTATAACTCAAATATATACTCGTTAGCCAAACATATTCTACGAAATATAAGAGCTGCCAATGCAAAAGTCAGAAGGACAATCAGAACAGTTGATCCAGTGTGGTTCATGTTGACTCTTGGCTGCTGTACCCGATTAAAGTCAGTTGAAGATGGAGCCCGTCTCTGACTCTGCTGCTGGGCACGGCGCTGCCGAGGACTCATAGACGTGTTGGTAGACACAGGCGGAGTATGCTCTTGACTGGCCGCTGCACCGTTATTCTCAGTTTCAGACTAAAAAGGAAACATGAAGAGTTGTGAGGCAAGACTACATATGATTAGCAAGGAATAAAGTCATTAGAACTAAAATGTACTCTTCAGATAATTGTTAATACTTGAAAGCCTGATCAAACATGTCACTAGTAGTTACCAGATTGTTATAGCTATTATTTTTGCCCATACACTATCTTGAGAACTCTATTTTAAGCTGCAAATCAGCAGTTCTAAGGACACGAAAAGTCTGAAGAAAGTCTGTCAAACAACATTTGAATTCTAGATGCGTTCCAAATCAAGATACTTCAAATACCTTTGTCTAGGATTTGCTTAACTGTTATCAGTTCAAGAAACCTTTAATAATCCTCCAGATTGTTAAGTCTCTGAGGATTTGTAATGTCACCTATACTGAAGGGGAAACAAGGGCAAGGGCAAGAAAGGGACAGAAGTGCAGGTAACTCCAATTAAGCAATGCTGCACTGCTTCCTGGGGACAGCTGGATCCAACATTCAGCCCTCATCACCAACAACACTGGAAGAAACAAAACAAAACCCCCAAACACAAAACATCCAAGCGATTCCAGCACAAATTATTGAGCACTGTACCTATGCATGCGCGTACCCATTGCCCTCTACTGGTCAAATGTTGGTCTACCATTATATGCAATAAAAAAAAACCCCCAAAACATTAGCAACTGATCTTCAGCTCAGGAGAGTATTCTAAAGAAAAGAATTTTTCAGTTTGTAAGACTGAAGTGACGGGTTCTGATATTTTGCTGGCCTAATCCTGCTTGCAATACTAAAAGCTCCAACTTCCAACATTTCAATACTAAAAACAGTGACACAGCAAAGTTGTTGGAAATAAATATTTTGACAAGGCTCAATTTTGAAGTGTTAAAAAAAAAAAAGTAGCTCTGACAAAAAGTTACTTTTTTGTAAGCCTTCTTTTTACTTTTCAGAACAGTCTGCAGGTATTCCCACTGCAACCTGCAGCTATTTTCCAGAGCTTTTCCAGAGTTAGCTTTCCCCACCTCCTCTCTTCTTCTAAAAGACTGAGCATCGTTACAGCAGGCAAAACTAGGATTCTGGATATTTTACATTTGCTTCCAAGCAAAAGCCTGTTAATGGACACAATATCCATAACTCTGAGTACTGTTTCAGCCAGGTCCTACATCCACAAAAGATATTCTTTCCACATGGCCCAATAGGGAACGTCCTCAACTGTGTATCAGGTTTGATGATCCGCAATACAGTAAGTAGTACTTGGTCCCATCACTCTTTGGCCACGTGCTCTGTATGTGGGAAAAGAATCTCCAAATTTTCACCTAGTCAGTGATTTGACTAGCCCATCATGATTTGACTACCTCCTCATCATTAGTACTTCCCACTGCTTTTTATCAGCAAGGAAGTACTGATGCAATTGCTCACCACATTTGACAACTTGCCTGTTTACGTAGGTTTCTTGCCTAAGCAAGCAAGCAGCTTGGATAGCTTCAAAGAAAAATGTTTTTAAAAGATTTATTTTATCAGCAGAGACACCCAAGAACACCACGAGCAGCTTGGCATGATTTCCATTACACTGCAGAAGAAAGTCATTCTGCTTCATACTGAACCCACTTGAAAGCTCCTCATGCCAAGGAAAATAGAGACGTAGGGAAGCTGAGCCTTTGAACATGAAGTTCCTCGATTCATCTACACTCCCATCTTTCAGAACAGGAGAGGAAGAGAAGTGAATTCAGGAAGCAATGGCACCAAATGCTAGTGTATCTTAAATAATATATACATCTAAAGAAAAATTTTTTTGTTTGTTTGTTTGAAGACTTAATAATTAAGAATCCCAAAAATGGCAGATAGGCTGTATTATAAATAAATAAAAATATCACAATCTTCTTGTCTTCACTTACAGCAAGTTTTTAAATTCTTAAGCAAAAATGTCAAAATTTTTAGACTAACGCAACACCTCACATGACACAATTTCCATCCAATTTTAAGTCATTTTCTGCCAAACCATACTGGCAATGTTGGGAATGAGGGCTTAATAGACTAAAAATAAAAATATTTTATAAGAGCTACATTGTAGCCACCTTTAGTGTCTGATCTTTGCAGTCACTGAATATTCAATTTGTGTGTCATATTATTTCTGAAACTTCTGAAACTATTAGGACTGTCCTTTGCTCCAAGGACATCTGAGTTTGATAAATAAGGCTAGCTCAGTAAAACGTACATATGTTAGAATTAACAAAACATTCTATCGTATAACAAAATGCAAGCAAGGAAACCTACACTATGTTCAGTCTACTTAAGACCAGTAGGGTAGCATTCACTGTATCACTTATGTCTCCAGGCTGTTATTTTAAAAAAATTATCAGAATGCTGGAAGTATTAAACAATCACCTTGGAAGGGATGTTTGAAAAATATATCAAACTCTAGGAACTCAGAACCATATAAATCCTCTGGGTTACTGAAGCCTCTTTCAGTTATACTCATGATCTCAAAGATATACAGAAATAAGAAGATATAAGGGTAGGTAAAATACTTGTTTATCCATGTAATTTCCAACTGAAGAACAGCTGAAGTTTGACACAGCTTGGCTTAACGGCTAACAAGAAATATGTCTAGTTTTTAATGAATCAAAGTCAAGCCAAGTACTCCTGATTGCCAACACATTTAAAATTGTTGCTGTAGTACAACAAAACTTAAGACACCACTTAATAGTGATAAACAGAAACACTTTTTAACAATATACCATTCAGAACATATGATTAAAAATAAGGGCTTCTATAAATCTCACGTATCAGAACATCGCCTCATTTTCTCAGAGAAACTTCCTTCATTAGTTCATGATTAGCTGACTTCAGTTACACTGTTCATTTCATCACTCCTCATTACAACACTTCATCAGGCCAGTACATTCATTGAGGACACTACTATACTATAGTGTTTAATACCACATACACTGAGGTTTAATATATTCCCAGGTTATCAGAAAAAAAAAGTCTAACCCCAGTTTTTAGCTTGTCATTTTGATACTTGATAAGAATTACAATTCTATTCATCAACTATAAACACCAAGGTGGGGCATCATTCCACATCAATACATTAAAAGTAGGTTGCAAAGGCGTGGTAGGAGTTTGGACTCTCATAATAGTCTGTGTAGATTTAGTCAGTGCAATCAGGGGGACGGACAGAGCAATGCAACCTACCAGCCTCCGCTTCTCAGTGAGCTGTAGTGCTCTCCAGCCTCCACTAACTAGTCCCATGGACTGTGATGACAGTTTTGGTACCAACATTTAGGTGACCAATGGCATAGCAGGTGACTTAATCTGGACCTGAGTATCTACAATATATCCATTCAACAACATATTTTTGCTCAGATGTGGAAGAACCTAATTTTCTTAATGCTAAGGGCAATTACTTTTAATCAAGCCAACTTTCAGCAGTACCTTGCTTGATCTTTGAATACTCAAACAGGAGTAATGTACCATTGCTATGCCCTGAGTAGACATCAACAGCTACTACAAATTTAAAAAAGTAAATACAGTGGGAGATGAAGAAGGAAAGGGAGAGTCTAGTCATAGGTGTTTTATAAGACCATTCTGCACTGGCTTTCCACACAAGAATTCAGTTCAACCTATCCCAAGAAGGGCATCACTGTACTCACAATTGTCCTGCCATTAATTCATTGCAAAAATCTCTGTCCTTTCAAGCAGCTTAAAGGTAAAAATCATGGAATAGACAATTGTTGCTGGAAAGAACAAAATTCCACACGAAGCAGATTGGCTTTCCCATAGTAAAACAGCCTACAGAGTCCCTCTTCATCCAAAAGTAGACCCTTTCTTTAGCACCTTTTTACCATCATGTTTTTAATGAAGACTGGTTACAACTGTTCCAAGAACAGAAGAAAGGTAACACTCCATTCTTCCTCCACGATTACTGCTTTTTTTTTTTTTCCCCTCTGTATTGTGCAGCAGGATATAAGGTCCATGACTTTGGAGGTACGCACATTAAATCTACTATACCAGAAGGTACTACGCAAGCTAATACAAGGATTCAGCACTGGGTCTACCTCTGCCCTTTTTACTCTCAAAGGGCATTAAATTTCAAGTTCACAACAGCAAATTTTCTACAATAGCTTTTAATTAAGCACCCATTTGTAGAGTAAGTGGGAAACATTTTATCCAAGAAGAGAAAAAAACCATAGTTCTGATGTTGCCCACATCTAACACTTACAGCTTAGGAAGGTAGAATTACACAAGAACTAACCTCACAAACTGATTTCACGCATGCAAGAAGCCCAGCTGAGTAGAAAGGGTCTGAGGTTTGCATGGATACTCTTAGCAGTATATGAGAGGTTTGCATGGATGCTATTAGCAGTTCAAGGCCTTTGACCCCCTACTTTGGGAAGATTTCTATTAACTTTCGCATGAATAAGAACACAAAAATAGCAAGCTCAAATTCTTTACAATAGTCTTTCCTGTTACACATTTCTTTCTTGCACTGTGTGGCTGTATGTTTTCACTCCCCAACAGCTCCAGAAAATTCCTAACACTCAAAATGTGGCAGCTCAAAAACACAGATACTGCTTCAAACTCTAGAAGTCATGAGTGTGACAGTCTGATCCCTTAGAACATGAATCCACTTTTCATCATTTACAGTTTATTATATATAAAAAATCTACATACATTTATATGTTTAAAAGTCTCATTTCACATGGGACTGTTCTGTTGAAAATTAAGTTAACCATTACTTATTAAATCAGCATAATTGATTAAAACAAGTCTCTTAGAAATGGGATTAATTAAAAAAAAAAATCAGTCTCCTTTTCTTCAAGAAAATGCTAGCAATGCCTTGGCATTTTGGCTAGTTCTTTATTAGCCAGGATTTGTTATAAGAAGAATAAAATAAAATGATTTATTAAATCCTGAACAATCTGGAAAAGTCCTTAATGTGGGAAAAAAGTATGCTATTAGCATGTTTATATTTCTACATAGCTCGAAAATATGTTGCAAACACGCAACAGATGGTCTGACGTTATTTGACGTGTTTTAGTTTTTTTAACCGATCTGCAGCCCCATCCTCTCTAAAAAAGACAGCTTAGCTGGGATTTGCCTGCAATTTATCAGTGAATTTAGATTGCATTTGCCACAGTCATAACAGCAGCTGCCTTGGCCCACCACCAGGCCCTGGTCACTTCTGAAACCATTATGTAAGCCCTACACCTAGCAGTATTAAAACATAAGTGTCATACTTCAAATGGTAAGAATATTTTATTCAGATTTACTGAAGAGGTTATAAAAACCAGGAAGATACCCTTAATTAATATTTAAAAGCTGCAAATTATCACTGAAACATTTTTTGCCTCTGGCTAAGAATTCTATTGCAAAAACCTGTGATATATGACGCAGATCGTAAATTGTAGTACTTCAGACACCATAATATTTTAATGAACTGTTAACCCATACACTAAAGGAACAACTGGGAAGAAGAATTACTAAAAGAACATTATTTATTGCTTTTAAGAGAAGGAAGTGAAAGCAGATTGCTTTTTCTAAAAGTGATTCAGCATACTATTTGCTGAAGTTTATACATAGATTTTATATAAAGGTAAGCAGAAGCTCTGGAAGAAATGTATGAACTACATATTCTTCATGAAGCCTCCAATCAGCTTAACAGTGCTGATTTCATGTTTAGACGACGCTTGCACTTGCACTGATAAAAGCTCAAAGATGGACCATACCGTTGCACTTGTTGGATCCTGGAACGCTCTAGCTGCACCATCCTGCGGGGGCTCACGTGAAGCGGCAGAGTGGTTCAATCCTGACGTGTGTGAGGGTCCAGCATCAGACTTCCTGGATGAATTGACTTCTGCCTACAGGGAGTACACATGTACGCTTCAGAGACGAGATCAAAATTGCTCCAAGGAGATTTGGCTTATTTTGGAATGCGTATTTTAACGTATGAAGAAGATGAGACCTACTGAAATGCAATGTAAAATCAAGTATGCCAACTGCATTTCAATTACACATCAACAGGTTTAAGAAATTCTCCTTCTTTAGAAGTAAGAGTACAGATGTGCAAATGTCAGTTTAAAAAACAATTTTGTTTGCACGTAACAACAGGTATAACGTTCAAAAAAATGGACAGATATATAGAGCAAAGAAGAAAATTCTTTAGAAGATCCAGGATGACATTATGCCAGAAATAACACCATTTTTTAAAACTTGTGTTTCTTACGGCCTTAAGTGAACGCTGACTACTGTTGTTACAAGTGAATTAATACAGCCCGTTTCTTGGCAGGGATAACTAGCCTCCAGTACGTGCTAATTTAATGTGGCTATACTTGTCCTAGTACTGAAGCTGCCTCACAGCCAGAGTGGACATATATGCACAGCACTACACTGTGCCAGGCACACAAAGCCAATTTCCAGTATTTAAATTTCAGCACAAGCAGAGCAAAAGGAGAAATACAAGTTTTGTAATACTGCTTTTGTACGCGTTTATAAAATGTCTAATCAGCATCAACTCCCAGAATTTAGGTTTCATGCTTTTGGACGTTTTAGATGAGAAATCAGTAGTGACATGTAGAAGATCATGAACAAATCTCGTGTTAAAACAGTGTATGTCCCTGCAATAATCTCTTGGGAACAGAAAAAGAAATAGCGTCATAGTCCTGAACTGAAACACTTCAAAATTTATACATATCAAAAACCAAAAAAAGTCATGACCAGATCAATTTTTATCAGCAAGCAAGTCACTTCCCAAGTCATGTATCCAGATCTCATTTTACTGTAAAGATGACAAATCCAAATTTAATACCTGTCTTCAAATGCAGATATAAGTAGTGGTAGTAGTACTAAGAAATACAAACAGTGTATTAGAAACCAACCAGTTATGGTGATAACAAGCTGATAAGATCACAAGACAACAACATCCTTTTTCGTGATACTATTTTGTGTAAGGAAATTAAATTCCCTGTTTCTTGACGTGTGTTATCTCAGGAGAATCTGAAAAATATACCACTGAAACAACCTGAAGATGAATTTAAGATTCAAAAACACTTATAATCTGACAACGCTGCTTTCTTGTTGTACTTGACTATTATTAACTCTAATATTAGATAGGACAAGTTCTGACTCGAATACGGAGAAGCAACAAAGCAACACAGGGTTATGAATAATTTAGACTGGAATGGACCTCTAGATGTTACCTGGTCCAACTCCCTCCTCAAAGTAGAGACATGTTCAGTCAAGTTTTGAGCATCTCCAAAGCTGGAGATTCCACAACCTCTCTGGGCAGCCTGCTCCAACATTTGACAATCCACAGGGTGAATTTTCCTTTCCCCTATCCAGTTGTAAGTTCCTTCCCTGGAATCTGCGACACCACTGCTTTTCATACTGCTTTTTCCAGTAAGAGCTCATTTCATCTTTACTGTCTACGAAGCACATACTCTACAAAATGCGCATTTGATTTATTTTAGTTTATGAAAGTACTAAGTCTAGCATGCTAGAATGAAGTCAGACTAACATTCAAAAAAATAAAGCACTTGAAAGTTCCCAAAACTGAAATATCATTTTCGTCACCTAGTCTCTCTTTTCTCCAACCCTTAACTCTCCTTCCAGAAAAGCTGGAGAGACCACAGAAGATCAACAGATTTAAAAATACTAATGAGGGTGACTGGAGAATTAAATTTACTGCAAAATACACCTTGTGATGGCAATATGTAGATATATAATATTGTTTTACAGTAATGCATATGCTATTAGTCATCCATCTTTTCTTTTTTTAAGCGGAATGGAATTTATGGCATATAGCACCTAAAATGCACAAAACAATTTGCAAGTCAATGTAAAGCTGATTAAAAAAAATTTAATTTTCTATGCAAACAGACAGAAACCAGAGTGGAGGCTCACAGAAGCAGGAAAACTGTAATGTGAAAATACGGTATTTTTTTTTCCTCATGGATTTCATATTCCTGTCTCAATACCACATATGGGTTTGGGTTGTTGGTTTTGTTTTTTTTTAAAGTTAACATTTTGCTTAAGAGTGGTATTAAATAATTTCTCATAATCCCAGGATCATCTAGAAAAAGTTAGGAAATCTCTTCTTTAAGGATCAAGATAACGTAGACTGCTAGTATGCTTGCTAGTAGAGGCTCTCTCAGATTACACAATCATCAATCTGATGTTAAATCTTTCCCCATAAATTGACATGGAATACATCCAAATGATTAAAAACTTTTGTATTCCCTGCTAGTAATTCATACTACTAGTTTACTACAAACACATCAATCGAATGCCTCAGTCTAACATCAATCAAACAATAGCAAAGCAAAGCAGAAAAAAGCATGAAGCTTAAAAAAAGTCCCTAAAAATTGATTTAAGAAAGGGAGGGAAGGCACAACCAGAGGACAGAAATGATTTACCCTATAAAAAACCCACAATGGATTGTAAAAGGCTGTAGAAACCTGAGGCTTTTGTTCATTTTTCCCTTGCTGAGTGGTTGCTCTTAGGAGGTGGAGTTACATGGAACACACCAATATTCTTTAGATATCGATGTCCCTAAGTCTTTAATTTTAAAACTGAAAAAGGTATGAAATGTAAATTAAGAGTTCTTTCTAAAAAAAAAATCTTTCTAAAAAAAATCTGATATTTCTAGAATTTCTGTGATGAAGATTAGCAGCTCTTTAGTAAAAATCAATCCTATACTTTTTAACCCTTATATATTGTAAAAAAAGCCAGGAGCAGGCAGTCCATTGCTTCTCTGAGTAGCTCAACTTTCAAACTCTGTCCCTGTACCTCCTCATCTTTGTAAAATATTTTGAGATGTTTTTATCATAAGCGTTATTACACACAGACCCAACTGTGTCAACATGTCTAGATGTGAGATTGCACAGGAATATGCAGGTCCTGCAGAACAGGCAGTAATGCTCAGTAGGAGGCAATCTTTACTCTCATGGCATACACAAACGCAAAAAGTAGTCTTTCGGACAAGGAGGAGAACATTGGTGATAAAAGGCGACATCCCTGACTGCATCCCTGACCCCAGTGAGGATGTATTCTGCACCAACGTCACATTGTCATGATATATTTGACTGTAGTTCCCTGTCTCACACACAGCAGTCTTCCTTAGTGGCTGATTTAAGAGTTTAGTGGAAAACCCAGTGAAAACCAACAGTGTGCATGCAAGACATGCAATTTTCTAAGGCACATATTTGGCTAAACAAACCTTACTTTCACTGAAACACAAGCTAGAGAACACATTTTTGGGTAACAGCAACTTCCATACCAGAGTTCAACTTTCAGTATCTTCAGCTGCAGAGTAGTTCAAAAGAATTTGCAACCATTTTCCAGTAGGAAAATTTTATTCCTTCCATAAGCCAAAAGGAGAAAAAAAAAAATCACAAAGGAAAAAAAATTAGGTTAGCTTTGCCTAAACTTTCCTAACACTTTTATGATAAGACTAATTCTGGAGAATTTAATCAAGTTATTAGTGACTGAAAATATGGAAGTAAAAGCAACATAGCTAGGCAGTTCTTACCACAGTGCTCACCACTGAAATTAAAGCTAATTGACCTGTGCTTGAGATGCACGGTTTATTAATTGACACATTGCAAGAGAACCTCTCCTATTTTTCTCTTTCAGACTGTCCTACAAAAAACAGGTTTCCATGTAGTGATTGATGAAATTTTATGAGATGATGAATGTTTCTACAATTTACAATTCTCCTCAATATATTTATTTTTTTTTTAATTCTATACAACAGAGATAAAAGTTGAAACAGTGACTTCACCTTGAAGCTAATTTGTCTGGCAAGTTCTTTAGCTTCCTTGTCTGCCTGGCTTGACACACGTCCAGATGTTAGTGGTAAGAGGGCTGTCTTCATAGATGTGCCACACATTTCACAACAGAAGTCTTGTGACCTGGCCACAAACGACATAACTCAGAATAGCATGTTCTCATAATGTTCTTGTGTGCTTGTTTAAACAAACTATTCGCAAAACAATCCACAGAAAGAGAAGTAGTGTCAAGACCAGTAGATGAAAAGTACTTCTCCCCACCCCAAACCACACTATCTTGAAAAAACATTGAGAATTATCTATACTACAAACACATACTCTCTCATGTCATTTAGGAAAATATTAACAACTGACTTACATATTGCTATTATCTATACTCTATTAATAATTTGTTACCATTTTAAAACTTACCTTATACCTGCAGCAAATTAAAATTTTAAATTAAAAAGACCTATTATAACAAATACTAAAACGGACCCAGGAGCTTGCACCTCAAATCCAGGAATTCCAGCTTCTATGAGAGTATTACCTTTCCTCCCTTGCACAGATAATTTGCCTATAGGGCACACTGCAAGCAGCCCTCCAAGACAATGAGAAACCACACCGCCTTGACAGTACAGTGTCAAGACCAACCCACTAAACCCTACCTCTCAACAGCGTTTATTAGCTTTGACTCAGTGCCATGCTAACAGGAAAGTTTTAGCTTCCAACTGGCTCAGAGTACAAGCAGACTAAGCTCACAGCTGCCTTCAAAATAAGGTACTAGATACAATTTGGAATACAGTAACTTTGCTTATAAGATAGGGATATGGTCACTGAATCATAGAATGGTTTAGGTTGGAAGGGACCTTCAAGATCATTTATTCCAACCCCCCTGTCATGGGCAAGGACACCTTCCACTAGACCAGGTTGCGCAAAGCCCCATCCAGCCTGGCCTTGAACACTTCCAGGTCTTTCAAGTACCTTCTCCTCCCCAGATGGGGAAAGGAGAAAGACAAAAAAAACCCCACGGGTGTAAGATTTCATTTATGGATGATCACAGTATAGCTGAGGTTGGGAGGGACCTCTGGAGATCATTTAGTCCAGCCTCCTTACAAAGCAGGGTCAAGCAGAGCACGTTGCTCAGGTCCAGCCACGTTTTTAGTACCTGCCAAGGACAGGGACTCCACCACCTCTCTGGACAACCTGTGCAAGCACTTTGACCATCTTCACAGTAAAAAAAGTGTTTTCTTGCATTCAGATTGAATTTTGTGGGTTTCTGTTTGTGCCCATTGCCTCTTGTCCTGTCACTGGATGCCACTGAGAAGAGCCTGGCTCTGCCTTCTTTAGACGTTCCTTTCAGATATTTGTACACACAGACAAGATCCCTTGAGCCTTCTCTTCTCCAGGATGAACACTCCCAGCTCTCTTAGCCTATACTGGTATAAAACATGTTCCAGCTCCTCAATCACCTTTGTGGCACTGCATTGGATTTGCTCCAGTAAGTCTGCATCTTTCTTGTGAACCTGAACACAGCCCCAGCCTGAACCCAGCACCCCAGATGTCTGACCAGTGCTGAGTACAAAGGAAGATCACTTCCCTTGACCTGCTGCCAGTATTCTTCCTAATGCAGCTCAGAATACCATTAGCCTTCTTTGCTGCAAGGGCACATTGCTGCCTCATGATCAGGTTGGTGTCCACCAGGACCCCCAGGTCCTCCCTTTCCAAGCTCCTTTCCAGCTGGTCGGCTGGTGTTAATCCTCCCCAGGGGCAGAACTTTGCTCTTCTCTTTGTTGAACTTGATGAGATTCCTCCAGCCCATTGAGGTTCCTCTGGATGGCAGCACAACTTTGTGGTTTAACAGCCACTCCTCCCAGTTTTGTATTCCCTGCAAACTTGCTGAGGGTGCACTTTGCCCCATCATCTAGATCATTAATGACACTGAATAGCACTGTCCCCAGTGTCGACCCCTGGAGTACATCAGTAGTGACCAGCCTGCAGCTGGACTTTCTGCTGCTTACCAAAATCCTTTGAGCCAGGCGGCTCAGCCAGTTCTTAATCCACCTTACTGTCCCCACTTACCTAGGCTGTACTTCATGAGTTTCTATGAGGATGGCAAGGAGACAGCACCAAAACCCTGGCTAAAATCTAGAAAAACAACATCCACCGCTTTCTCTTTATCCACTAAGCTAATCGTTTCATCATAGTCGAAAATCTAATTTTAATTTAATTTCCTAAAAATCGTTCAGAAGCTGTTGCTTCAGTTTTTTTGTCATTGTTTCATTATTATTATTTACCTAAGGGGAATGATGCATCATTTTTTGGTTGTTTTCTCCCCCACTTACTACCAATTCCATCATACTCATTTTTCTCAACACTGCAATTACCACTGTATCACAATGTTAATTGTATCTCTAAGCCTGAATTTCAGACGAACCAGTAATTTGACCACACAATGCTGGAAGAACACAGCACTCTCCAAGTATTTTATTTGACCCTAAGTTCCAAGCTTGCATAACGTTCAGAAAAAAAAAAAAACATATACACTGCATAGAACTTTTTTGGTATTTGGAATAAATGCAAGAGAACAGACTGAAGTGACTTACTTTCTACTCAATGCCTTACCCTAAAAGAGAATACATATGTATGTACCTACAGTAACATAGTGCTTACTTCTTTGCAAGAGCTCTTCTTTCTTCTGGTGTATAATCTAGAGATCCTATTGCTCCTTCACCTTTGGTTGGCATAAATCCAATAATGGCTAGTAAAGCGGTTCTTACTGAAATGGGAAAACAGAGATACAAACAAGGTTGCAGAAACAACTGTTACTTCATCTCTCTCTACACTTGGTACAGAAAAGTTGCAGTTCTGCCTGTAAAACTTCATTTTGTCCAAAGGAGTAGTCTGAATTTCATACAAGCAGCACTGTGGTTTTTTGGTATGCAGCAAGGCTTTCTTCATTTTTTAAACATCACATAAATGAAAGCCAAGTCCTTATTCTTCCATCACCCAACACACAGGAGAAAAGATAAGTTGTCCCAAAAATGTTGCATAAATATAAAGATTAGAGTTCCAGACTTTAAAAATGGGTTCTGAAGAAATAAAGTTAAGGCAGAATTAACATATAAATGGGGAAGAAAAGAAGAGAAGGATTCATAAGGCATTCTTCTTTTTGTGCCTGTTTTCTACGAGACACAAATTCTGCGATTTAGTGAACACAAGCTCAGTCGTTTTCTTTTATGCAATATACTGCAGAATTCGTTCCTTTTGTGTCATCATGCTGGGGAAGGAGCTTACTTAAATACTAATAACAGCTCATAACAGAACTGTTATCTAAAACATCTCTTTTGACAATATCTATCCTTCAATTTTGGTTTACATAGTTATGAAATTTAAGAATTCAGGACACTTCGGCTAGTAGATTTGGTAAATAAGTATCACATGAAGCTAAGTACCACAAAACAGAGATAGCATATTTACACCTCCTACTTAGAAGACAGTATTTTCTACTCTTTAAAAAAACAGTAAGAGATTTCACAAAATTTGAAGAGTGGTCTGTTAGAAAACTCCTAAGATCTTATCAACTTATTTTAAAAGTGCAACTGATATCCAAAGAAATATATACGGTACTCAGCAAAACTAAATTATATAAACACAGAAACATTGCCTTGGATGAATTGTGCCAACTCTCAATTTCTGTCATACTGAAATGTAAAAAAAAAAAAAAAAAAAAAAAAAAAAAAAAAAAAAATTCAGTTATTCTGAACACAGACCATGTTGTCTTTCCTCTTGAGTGTTCAGAAGTACAGCATCAGAATTAAAAGCTGAACACTCTCGCCTCTATCAATTTTCAAGCTGGTTTCAATGGTTATACAAAACCAGGGTAAAGTAATATGATTTAAAGTATTTTTACATTTCAACTCAAAAAAATAAGAAAACCCCAAACAAAAACACACAGACCCAAAGAATATTCTAAATAGTCTGAGAATTCTTAATGCTTATGCATCCAAATAAATAAAAGCTTACCATCAATGCGTCAATTTCTCAACCCTTTCCTCCTGCATTTATTTAACACCACTCCCAATTCCCTTCTATGTCGTTCTTCCATGACTTTACATTTCTCAGATTCTCCCATACTTTTACTACCTCAAAATCTGTCTCCTTTTCCACTATAAACATTCTTTATGAGATTTCTTTTTTCAGTGTAAAGATCTAATCGCTTGATGGGGGTAACATTTTCTAAATAATTGTTACTTACTACTCCATGAAGGCTGCCATGTTTCAGGATGATGCCCTGAGATGCTTAAACAAATTTTCTTCCCCACTTCAAACCTGCCATTGGCCTTCAAAGAAAGGAGGAGGATATAATAAAACATACTGGAAGTTAACTCTTGTTTTTTGGTACAAGTTGTAAAAAAACCAAACAAAACTATATGCAAACAATACTTGATAATTATATTAATGCTAACCTCACAGAATTGGCATTCAGCTTTCTGAACAAAGTAGTCTGCCCTCTGGCTCTATTCATGCATGAAGAAATCCTTAACTGATACCTCACATGCCCCAGTGTGACGTGGTGGCTTACCTGTTGTTCCTGTAACCCACACACCACATGCAGAGCCTGAAAAGCTATAGCTCTATGAAACTACGCACAAACATGGCCTTTGTCCCAAACCATAGGTCTGCCTTCCTACACGTGACCAACGTCTCCAACAGAGACCAAGAAGGCCCATGGAGAAAACAGATTAGACAATCACATCAGCAATGTGACTACTCCTGGAGAAAACTTCCATTTATCAGGTGCAAAGCTTCATGTAATTACAGAACACCAAAGTCACCTTGGAAGACTTCTGGTTTTCAACTGGCAACATTAACTATACTATGCCACCTTTCTTACAAACATAACATTACCTTAAATGTCAAGAATGTCTCTGACACCCACGGTTAAATTGATCACGTGAAAAGGAAAAACTAGTAAATGTGCTTACCGTCAGCAAAATAATGCTGGGTGGTTTCATGGGATATTCCGGTGGTAGTACTATTCGCCCGTGATAAATCCCTCCATCGAAATCTGAATCTGGAGGGCCCCTAACGGTAAAGTGCCATTCAAAAAGGTTATCCTAAAATGCCCCCACCAAAGGGACAAGGAAAAAAAAAGAACAAAGAGCGTGTCAAAGAAGTAGACAACTAAGCACCATTTTCTTGAACAGGGACAGGCTAAAGAAACAGAGTAAGACAACAAACACAGTACTAAGATTCTGGTTAAAAGAATAAAATAGCTTAGCTGTCCAGTAATTTTCTCACATAATGGTCTTGTTGCAACCCTCAAATTCATTATTCAAGCTCTTCACTCCAGTTGTATCAATTACGACTAGTTTTATTACCCAACAGATGGAAAACTGAGTCAACTTGGAAAACTGAGTCAATTTGTGAGGCACACTGTCCCCCTGCAGCCCATGGAGAATAACGGTGGAGCAGATATCCACCTGCAGCCCATGGCAGATGCCACAACAGAGCAGGTGGATGCCTGAAGGAGGCTGTGACCCTGTGGGAAAACCATGCTGGAGCAGACTCCTGGCAGGAACCTGTGGCCCTTTGGAGAGAGGAGCCCAAGCTTGAGCAGGTTTTCTGGCAGGATTTGTGACCTCATGCGGGACCCACACTGGAGCAGTCTGTTCCTGAAGGGCTGCACCCTGTGGAAGGGACCCATGCTGGAACAGTTGGTGAAGAACTGCACCCCATGGGAAGGACTCACGTTGGAGAAGTTTGTGGAGGACTGTCTCCCATGGCAGGGACCCCACAGTCGAGCAGGGGAAGAGTGTGAGGAGTCCTTCTCCTGAGGAGGAAGGTGCGGCAGAGACAATGTGTGATGAACTGATTACAACTCCCATTCCCCATCCCCCTTTGCCAGCTCAGGGGAAGGAGGTAGAGAATTCTGGAGTGAAGTTAATGCCAGGAACAAGGGAGGGGTGAGGGGAAGGTGTTTTAAGATTTAGGTTTTATTTCTCATTATCCTACTCTGATTTTGATTGGTAATAATATTAATTTCCCCAAGTCGAGTCTGTTTCACCTGTGATGGTAATTGCTGAGTGATCTCCCTTATCTTGACCCACAAGCCTTTCATTATATTTTCTCTCCCCTGTTTAGCTGAGGAAGGGAGTGATGAAACGGCTTTGGTGGGTACCTGGTGTCCAACCAGGGTCAACCCACTACAATAAACAATTTTGAAATAGCTACAGTGCTTCACTGCACAACAAGTACACTTTGAAATTTGGAATATCATTTTCATTATACATACAAATAACTTCTCTTTAAGCATTATTTCTTTGGAGTTCTGTGTTTGGCTTTGTGTATCAGATCTCATGATGCTCACAACCTCCCCAATATTTACAAGCAGAACAACTCCTACTGTTAGGACAGGAGTCCAAATGAGGCTTACTGTCAGTGAACAAGATCTCTCATCTAATGCCAAACACTGGTATTGCAGCACTGTGACTGCCCACCTAGTTACAATTTTTTCAAGGATGGGAGGTAACAGTCAACATTTCCAGCATTTCCTTTCATCTGCCACTGCTTTCTTCCCAGTGAGTCACTGTTCCAACCCAGAAACAAGACCTTCATGTAAGTTACAAGTAATAGCATGAATTAAACGTCACATTTCACCACAAGAGGAAACACAAGGTATAGAGAAAAATCAGTCGATAACAAGGTATATTTTATAGCACCAAGGAACATGCTATTTTCTGTAAGCATGTTAAGCGTGCTACGCACTTCTGTGAACAGCTAAATCAAATCCCCAAACTGAATACCACAGAACACTGCATTTTTTATTATTCCAGTGAAGTCAGAAAGGGGTTTCCAGAATTGCACACATTTACATTTTTCACAGTTTTTTGTATGCAAAATAGTGAATCATCATAGATCACCTAGGCTTAAGTGTTTTGTTGAGCAACTCGGCAACTGAACCAGATCTCAGGTTTGGGTGTAAAAAACTTAAGTTAAACATAATGCATTTATGTAGTCTCAGGGAAGAGGAGGAGGAGGAATAAATGTATTGTACCTGTGCGATAAAATTACTGAGGTGCAATGTAAAATCAGTATTAGGTACTTTCAGTAACAACCTGGAACTACAATACCATTAAAACAGAATTCTGCTGATTTCCATCATAGGAATAAAAAGAACTGAATCAATTCTAAAAGGTCTGCTAGTATCTAAATATGTACTTTTTAAATACATATGCATACAGAGAACTTAGAGTATATATTAGTAACACAGTCTAATTACAAGCTCTTGCAAACACACAGAGAAACAAACCTCCAAAGGCTGTGCATGATAGTGATCCGTAGGATCCTTCAGTTCTGCAGCCTCTTTCATCAAACGTTTGACAGCTGAAAAAGAGAAAGTGTAAGACATGAAAATAAAGTAAAAAAAGTAATATGCATTGCATACAAAAATACATGAACATTTCTTGAAGAGCTCCTTTCAGCTAACTAATCTTTTCAGCACACCCCAGACTCTTCACTGGAGTTAATAATCCAAGACAGAATATAAATTACTCATGCTGAATACATCTTAAATGATTTATACAAGCACAAAGTCATGAAAAATACGTTACATGGTCACAGAGTTTCTCAACACTAAACACTGGGACTAAAGTAGTTTTACATAATTAATTGCACCAAAGACGACAAAAAACAAAGGTGTCATTAGCGGAGTTTCAGACTTTAAATACAAGATGTACAAGACTAATAACTTCAATATTTTATCATAAAGGACATCATGTGCATCTCTAAACAACTGCATAAAAGCTTTATCCTGACACCTCCCATGACTATTACACGACTACTCCCTTAATTATTCCAAAGGAGGTCATAACACTATTTGAGAGAAACCAACACACCATTAGTACAAGGAGATGAAGTTTTATACTAGATTTGAAAATGCATATGCCCACGCAGAAAAATTTACCCAGGGCCTTTGTCATTTGAACCTTCTATTGAGTCTGGATACACAGGTATTTTTCTATTCTAAATTCAGGATATTCACTAGTTACCCTCTCCAATCTTCTACTTCAGAACCATCAGCATCATCTGTATTTTCTGCATCTCCTTCTTTCTTACCCTTTAGTAAGTTCTGTTACATCACTTGTCCTGCCACGCGCCCTCATGCGTATCATGCATTAATGCCTAATAAAGAACTCGGCCAAACTGAAGAGCAGACTAAACATGAGAACTACAGACAAGAATTTCAAGGATGCTGCCTCATGAGTAAGATTAGGTAGAAAGTTCTTATTCCCTCCTGCTTACTGGAAAAAGTACAAATACCAGATACTTCTTTAAGCAACCATATAGGAACAGGATCCATCAATCCATCCTGCACATTCAGTTCAAACCATGGATGTCCCTCCCACTCATGTAAATCTCTACCTACAAAGGAGGATAAACAATGCTCAAATTCCCTTACAGTGTAAGCATAAAGATATGGTGAAAGTGAACCGTAGTTCCTCAATTGACAAATCCGGGCATCACCAGCTGACTGTAGGCTGTGTAGCACGCTCACACTCCAGGGCTTTACTCACTTTCATGAGGCTGTGAGGTAAACTACTCTTAACCTTCCTGCAGAGGAATTTTTATTTCAATCTACTGTGAAAAGTTATTTTCCTCCTTCGCACTTCTTGACAGCTATAAACAACAGCTTGAAGTTTGAGAATTTCACTTCTTACAACCCAAAAAGCAAACAGACTATGTGGAAATTTGCTATTGCCAGTTGTCCCAATTCTGCTGCTGCCAGGGGGAGGTGTCAATTAAACACCCTGCAGAGCCCATGAGGTCACGTCACAGGCAGCAGCGTCCAGGCTCCACTCTTTCATCCACGCTAAGGTCTACCAGGTCATTAGCAAGGAATAATAAGAAAACCAGCCTGGACCAGTAAAGGCTTCAGACCCAGCATTGCTTCACAGCCAACAAGCCTGGACACTTGCCTTCAGAAGAAGAGTGGCATGCACCAAGTCACGTGAGCTAATTCAGCAGTAAACACCCCATGAAGCAAAAGGGTAACCATGAGAAAACTGAGAACGTATAGAACGAAGCCTAACAAAGACAGAGTAGTCATGGACAAGGCAGACAACTCTGTTACCAAGATTTCCCAGACCAGGGACCAACACAGAAAAGAAAAACAGTCCCCCTATACCAGCATCACGTGCAGTTACCCATGTTAACCGAGGGAAAGCTATTAGAGAAAAAAAAAAAATAATACTAGTTTAAGACTGTTCTACAAAAGTCTACTGACACTCAGCCTACCAACCTAAAACTGTGTGTAGTGTCTTTGGCAGTGTGCACCAGCACTTCAGATTTGTTCCGAAAGGAATAAATTTTTGACCGCTTTAACTCCAAGGCTGTTCCCCGGGCGCAGAGCGCCAGCAGCTGGCAGGCAGAAACAGAAAAACCAAGGGTTTGCACTGAGAAGTAACCAAGACAGGAGCCAGGTGGGGACAAAAAGCAGATGGGCTCCTGTTTAGTAAAATTAAAATGGAAGCAGTTTAAAGCATGGGGGTTTTTTAACATATTTTTGTATTTAATCAACAGTGACACTATATGCATTTTTTCATAGAATTACTTTATTATCAAGAAGCCAGATTACAGGTATTTTAAGAAGCCAGCACAAACTACACTGAAAGAATATGAAATATTATTCCATTCTTGGAGCATGAAATACACCAAAATACATAATTTAGCTTTTGTGTACCATAGAGATAATTTGCTTATATGACATTTACAGTATTAAGCAACCTAGGATATCTTAAGAAAAAGAAACACATGTATATGAAGACAGGCTGAGAGAGTTGGGGTTGTTCAGCCTGGAGAAGAGAAGGCTCTGGGGAGACCCTAATGCAGCCTTCCAGTACTTCAGGGGAGCTTACAAGAAAGATGGAGAAAGACTTTACCGAAGCCTGTAGTGACAGGACACGGGGCAATGGTTTTAAACTGAAAGAGGGTAGGTTTAGATTCGACACAAAAAAGAAATTTTTTTACGGTGAGGGTGGTGAGGCACTGGAACAGGTTGCCCAGAGAAATTGTGGATGCCCCATCCCTGGAAGTGTTCAAGGCCAGGCTGGATGGGGCTTTGAGCAACCTGGTCTAGTGGGAGGTGTCCCTGCCCGTGGCAGGGGGGTTGGACTAGACGATCTTTTGCAGGTGCCTCCCCAGCCCAAACCATTCTGTGGCTCAATTTCCACATTTATGCAAATTGCTAAGTGACAAGCTGCAAAGAACAGCCTGGACCGATAAAGGTTCATTCTGAGAACGTGCGATCCAGTGAAGAAAGCATTAAATTGTTCCTTCTTTAAGCATGGCTGCAGTATTCATAAACACAGTCCTTCCTTTGGCTAATGAAAACTGCAATAGAAGAAACAAACATAATTCAAAGTCTGCCTGCAACAAGTACACTACATTCTTATCCAAACTTAATTAAGAGAGTTTTGATGCAAAATATGGTATTTCAACCCACTTGAAATCACACTGAACCATCTGAGTGAATGTTTGGCAAGGGTAATTCTGAAAAATGAGAACAGTTTGGGCCCATTCAAAATAAAGAATTGCAAACCATCAATAAAATCAAAAAGTATCACTAATTCAGCCAAAAAAAAAAATATTCTAATTGAGACATTCAATTTGTCGAAGTCAGGTTTTAGAGAAAAAATAATAAAGGTATTTTTTAATGTGGCATGACTGTCAGCATGAAAAATAACCATGCTTTCACAGGCACACTTGGCTACAATTTATCATAATGTTCATTGACATTAAATACTGAGGAAATTAAGTTTCTCGGCTAACTCTAAAGAGTACAGGAGAGTTCCCGCCCCGGCAGGAGGCACGGGAGCTCCCCACTGCTCTTGGGAGAAAACGAAAGAGTGGGTGTTACAGGCCAGAGGCTCTGTGTGACAATCTGCCTCTTGTATTACACTGAACTTACCAAATTTTTCTGAAAAGCAAAACGTGGATTTTAAAAGTCTGAGAATCAAATTTAAAGCCACCAGCTTGCTTGTTTAGAATAACACAATTAATGAGCAAAATTTGTATAATGCATGCATGTATAATTTGTAGATTTATTTCTGTCAAAAACTATGTCCTGGTCAAATTCTACTTCTTAACAACGTTTACCTTAAACTGCCTGTTCAACATAATTACTTTTCTTGGATATATCTTGAAGTCACATTTAAGTACTCCTGCTATCACTCCCAACTAGACAAGTTCGCACCTCATGGCTCAGGAAACCCTTCTGTATACAGAAAACGCAAGTAAGCAGTCTTCATAAGTGTCAAAATTGCTGCTTAAAGAAATGACAGGATCTGAACATCAATGGTGTTCTCCTTGTAAAATATTACGCCTTATTTTTTAAAAAAATGTTATTGTGAAAATAAAGATAGGCTTAAAATAAAGCAATTATAATTAGCCTTGTAGAGGTTTGTTTTGTTAGTAATCTGCTGTATTTAATAAGGAAGGATTTTAGTTCATTTTTACATTATCAGTGAACAGTGCATGTGACAATCAAATGAGCTGATCAAGGTTTAATTAATGTAAACATAATGCACAACATCGCCAACAGGATTTATTTCAGCATAACAAAGTTGCATACCTTTTGCTCACTGGAAGTTCAGAAAATCTGATACAAGTTCCAACTCCCTCCAACACTCAAAAACCAAAAACCCAGACACCGTTACAAGCTTCCTGAAGATCTGCCACAACTTGTCTACAAAAGGCAACAATGCTCAGGTCCAAGAGCTCAACAGGAGAAGCAGACCCAGGCGAGGGGGCGGCAGAGGTGAGGTGGGTGACCCTGTAATCAAACCCAAGCCAGGGAGCATGGGGAGGGCGGTCTCAGTTCAGCAAGGCTCAGCCCCAAGTACTTCGTCACATGAAGAGACAGCATTTTGTGCACCCAAAGATGATTGCAGGATAAAAGAAACAAATTCATATTTAAGGGATATGGGTTGTACGCGACAGTATCTTCCTTAAATGGATAGAAACCTTTTCATTCTGCCAATTTTCAGTTCTTCTGTTTGAAAAAGAAAGTACGTAATAAACAAATAAAGGAACCTGAAACAGACGGCATAAAGCTAGAGATCTCATCTTTCAAGTTGACTTATCTGATCTGGTAAAAAAAAGTAGTAAAACAATCTGACAGCTTTTACTGCTTCAGCAAATGCTTTCTACTTTTTTTTTTTATTATTATTATTTTAAGTGAGATTTAGAGGTCTACTCAGGAGAAATAGAGAAAAAGTAGTCATTTTTCCCCACAGTTCTGCTGACCAAGACAGCATAAGTAAGGGTGCAATTGACTTATCAAATCCAGGTTTTCTAATGAATTAATAAAACTCAAAGTTTCT